GGTACGCATCCTGTACTTCAGCCCGACGAGTCGAGTGCGAAGTCCAGCAGGCATTTCGATGGGGTTCCCCATCACAGTTGGGGTGCACCAAGGCTCAGCGCTTTCCCCGCTGCTCTTCGTTGTCGTCATGAACGCCATTTCACGGGACCTCCAGAAGCCGGCTCCTTGGACGCTTCTCTACGCTGACGATGTGATGCTCGCCTGCGAGGAGAAGGCTGCGTTTATATTTTGCAGCAGCTAGCATAGCGTTCGATTGCGCGTGTTGTGAAATTGCTGGCGTGTGTAGCCTCACCACATTACTAATACCGTACACTGAATTCGTTAAATTGCATATGTTGGAACGGAATTTTTTTTCCATTGTCGCGCCGGAATTGAATTGAACTATGAAAACGCTGGCTTTTGCAGGTACCATCTCCTTTTTTAGGGCTGATCTGTTGGAGATTGATCTTTTTTGGGAACTTTTAGTAATTCGTATGAACGGTTTCTGGTCGAATATACGGCTGACAAATACATGCTCATTCTTATAAAAGATCCTAGATGGTCTCACACCCATAACGATGATGGAAATGATCGGTTCATGCTTTGCATTTATGCGTTATGCAATTTAACCGGTTCAGTGTACTGTATTAATACGGTGCGGCTACACATGCCGTAATTTCACAGCACGCGCAATCAAAATCAACAATCATGTCTGACGGTAGTCTTGACTCAGAAGTGAGCGCGCGTGTGAGTGCAGCCTGGTCTAAGTGGCGGTCTATGACTGGCGTTCTCTGCGACAAGACGATACCAGATCGCCTTCGAAGATCTATAGGACCGTCGTTCGACCAGTCGCGATATACGGCGCTGAATGCTTGGCCTACGACCAAAGAAGTTGAAGCGCGCCTAGGAGTCATGGAGATGAAAATGTTGCGATGGACCGCCGGTGTCACGCGTATGGATCGCATACGCAATGACGACATAAGGAAGAGATTCGGTGTTGCTCCTGTGGCCGAGAAAATGCGCGAAGCTCGCCTTCGATGGTACGGTCATGTTCTTCGCGCGAATTGTGACACCGTCCGTAGGATTGGTCTTGAGCTCGAAGTTCCCGGAAAGCGGCCTAAAGGACGCCCCAAGCAGCGCTGGTCAGACACGTTGCATGCGGACTTGATAGTTGGCATCCATCCAGAACAAGCATGGCGCGACAAAATAAGACGAGTGGACCCCGCTACAGAGCGGGACAAACGCTGAAGAAGAAGAAGAGGACCACTTTATATAGCTAAGACAGGGACAAATGAGAATAAATAACTGGAAAAAAGCCTAATAACCTCCAGAAAAAACCTAATTCGTTTCGCGATTAGTGCTTTAAATTGTAGTGGATATTAGATAATATAATAGTGAAAGTGGGAGTTACAGTGCAGTCAAGCTTATTCTACGCGGAACTAAGACCTAATTTATTGTGCATGAAAACTAACAAAGGAGGTCTTTCAGGTCGTGGCGCTTTTTGGAAATGGTTTGTTGCTTGTTGTAGGGGTCCATACAAGGATCACAAAAATGGGTTTCATTTTTGCTATGCGTTTCTGGGTAGGTCAAAAACTGAGTGAAAAGAATTTGACAAGAATGGGCGGTTTTAAATTAAGGTCAAAATGTAAGTATCATGTGGTAACACACTTGGCATGCACCGACGCAAGAGTGATGTTTTTGTCAGCGCTCCCTTCATGACCATTGCTGGCGGATCGGATGGCGTAGCGGATAGCACGATGGATTCTGGATGGCACGACAATGCGGGACTCGGTTCGGATCCTCATTGCGGCAACAGTTTTGCATCTGTATCAACGCAACGAGACGAGAACATTTCCGGAAACAAGGTTCTCCACACAAGTGTGCTGGTTTGTAAGGTGTCATCCAGGGAAGGCCAACAGGCCAACCTGGCCATTTAGAACAATGAACTCGAAACTACCTTCAAAATTTGCGGAACGATTCTCTGAGCGGAGTTATGGAGGTTTTCCTTCACTGTTTTTCTTCTTGCGGGTGGGCTGGCGCAGTGAATTTGCACCTGTAGCGCGACTCACAGCTCTCTCCGTGCGAAATAGATATCATATTCGTGTTCAGGGGGTCAAACAACCCCTAGAAACGCCACCTTGAGGAAATCCGAGGTTCTGACTCAACTTCGAAAAAAGGGGTAGAGATGGTCACGCCTGGATGATAGCCAATACTCCGACTAGCATACTGGTGATGACTGGTCTTTGCACTGAAATAACCCTTCAGTCATGTCTTTTCGCAAAGAACAATACCTGGCTCACTTGTTCGTGCCGCCTGCATCATTTTCCTGATTACCGGTAGAAATTCCATCCCAAGACCAGTCATCCATGGTGGGTGGACCCCAGCCTGCTGCTAATTGTCCATAGAATGGCCCACATTTTCCAAGTTAGGTCGAAACGTCAGATTTGGCTAGAAATTAGTCCCCAGGGGTAATCCAACCCGCTGAACATAAATGTGATGGTATTTCATTGCAATAACCCTTCTGACATGAGCTACGAGGGGCAGCACAAGCACGCTTTCAGGCCACAATGTGGCCACAAGTATATGCCTTCAAATGGCATATACTTGACTTATTTCCACTGCCAGACACACAGGCACGCGAATGAATGGAAAGCTGAAAAATGCAAAACATTTTCCGCGAGGAGGATCCGATCCACAAAGTCCCCCTTGCCGTGCCATCCAGAACCCGTCGTGTTATCCACTGCGCCATCCGATCCGCTGGCAGTGGTCGTGAAGGGAGCGCTGACAAAAACATCACTCTTGCGTCGGTGCATGCCAAGTGTGTTACCACATGATACTTACATTTTGACTTTAATCGAATCTATTTTGAGGCCTAATTAGTGACCACCTCATAAACTATGCATGCTCGAAGTTACAAGCAGAAAGGAGCCCATTAAGGTTGTTAAAACCGCCCATTCTTGTCAAATTCTTTTCACTCAGTTTTTGACCTACCCAGAAACGCATAGCAAAAATGAAACCCATTTTTGTGATCCTTGTATGGACCCCTACAACAAGCAACAAACCATTTCCAAAAAGCGCGCCACGACCTGAGGGACCTCCCTTGTAAGTGAAATAAATTCCACAATTCAAAATTTAATGGAGAGCAATACCAAAAAGAAGAAGACTTTTTTTTTATTCCAGTGATGTTTAATTCCTCGTACTTCTTCATCTGCGCTGCGCCTTGCATTTGTTATGTGCCCAGATTTGCAGTCCTTTTCTGGGAGAAACGGGCCTCACGATAACTATGTTGCCGATTTCAGAATTTTCTTTTCCCTTGTCATCGTTCTACACATGTTTTGGATGTGTTTCTTCCAAAGAATCAAATACTGCTGTTGCCATATGTTCCAGAAGCGATCTGCCCTCGATTAGAGGAGTGCAGGGCGTCTTCTTGTTATCCTCCTTCCGCGTGAGAAGTCAGTAGTGCCCCACAGTCGCCCGGCTTTGCCGGGCGAATGGTCGAAAAAATATTGTTTTGAGAATTACCGCACTTTACCGTTTCACTTCTTGTATATACCCCCCCTAGAAGACAGTAGTCAAAATTTTCTATACGGCACTCCCATTAGTAATGGGAATCGCTCCCTAAGGTTATCTCTCCCTAACTTCATCTGCCAAACCATTGCTCAGTTTCACCTTACTCCCCATTTCCTGGGGTTTTTCGGATGCGTTTTGAGGGTTTTTGTCCTCGGCACCGTTCACTTCGGCGAACGCCCTGCCCATCGCGGGTGTGCTTCATTATCTCCGCCAACTGATTGCCTATCGTTTCCCTCATTTCCCGATCTCTGGGCTCTTCTGGAACCAATTACGGATTTTGAAATTTTTGTGGCAAGCGCCGCCCATCTACAGCACGCCCTACCCATCATGGATGTGTCTCCTTCATTTCGTCCGCCAACTAATTGCCTATCGTTTCCCACATTTTCCGCTCTCCGGGCTCTTCTGGAACCGAATTACGAATTTTTGAAAGTTTTGTAGCGAGCACCGCCCACCTATAGCACGCCCTGCCCATCATGGGTGTGCCTCCCTTACGTTTCGTCCGCCAACTAATTGCCTATCGTTCCCCTCATTTTCCGACCTCCGGGCTCTTCTGGCACCTATAGCACGCCCTGCCCATCATGGGTGTGCCTCCTTTATTTCGTCCTCCAACTAATTGCCTATCAATTCCCTCATTCTCCGATCTCCGGGCTCTTCTGGAACCGAATTACGAATTTTTGAAGTAGCCCAAAACGCACGCATGCCCCGCCTACAGTGGGCGGGGCTTAGCTTGGTTCATGTGTGTTCCGTACATCTTGGCCCATGTGCCCTACCCAACCCACCCTTGACCCGCCCCCTCAAACTGGCTCTTCAGGTGATTCCGAATTTCCGGACAGACAGACAGACAGACAGACGTTGCCGTTTATATATAGTAGAATCGTTCGTCCTGTGGGAGCAAGTAATTGGATTCATCACTAGCCGCATCGGGCATTGTCAATTTTAAGGTCATGTCGGTGCATGAAATCCATGTGGCGACCTGTGCTCGCTGTTTCTTTCCTTGATATATAAGTGGTCTCTAGTCAAGACTCGCTTTTACTTCAGTTACAAAGGTTACCGTGTCATCAAATAAGCGTCTGTTATTTCCCCTCAGTGCTTTATAAAAAAAGTCGCAAGTTTAGTGGACTCAATGAGGCGCTCATAAAGCCCTCCCTGCGAAGAGCCATAGTGTTGTGTTGTTCCACTAAATTTCTTTATTGACTACTTGACGCCATATGTCAGATGCATGCTTGCTGACCCAATATGCTCTGAGTGAGTAAGAAGAGTGGAGCGTTATCACATGTTATGGTGTCTAACAGTCCTCTGCGAGTCCTCAACGAATCTTTGGAGCGCGTGTATGAATTCGCTAGTGCTCATGCTCCGTAGGACTTCGAGATGAATTAGACGGGTTACTGTACATATGAAGAATGCACCCGATAAAGCTTAACCGCTCGTCGTCTTCTGCATACGGAGAAAAATCAAAAAAAATCCAGGTCTATGTTTTGGAATGAGCGACACCTGATTAGCAGTTGTTGGAGGTCTTTTGTTTCTGGATAGTAGTACGGTTGCGCATTAAATCTACGGCATTTAACACAAGAGGCGATATATTCACGAACTTACTGGCGCAAATTTGGGATCCAATATTGCTATCTCACGGTGCTTATTGTGTGTTCAGTTCCGGAGTGATACTTTCCATAGGCCTCTTCTGTTTTCAGTTGGTCAGAGGTGTATTAGGGGCAACGAAGACTGGGCTTTTCGCATCCTCTCTGATTAATGCATTTCATATAATTCCTATTGACCTCCAGATTTCATTATCATTTCCGCATATTTGAAGGTATGCTCTATGCACTTTTTGTAACGATGAGGTAAAAATAGGGATTGATGGTTCTGAATGGGAGTCAGGCGTGCTGCCCTATTTCCAATCCAGTAAGAGTACTTGACGCCGCGAAGACGTCATGGAGCTCAGGAACCTTGGCAGGAATTCCTTGTTTGACAGTGGTATCGAGTGGCCCATGAGTTTCCTTATGAAGCGCAAGGCTTGCGCCATCTTTCTTTGCAGTCACGAGAGAACCCAACAGGGTGAGTGGGAGGTTGAGGCTTGGCTCTGTACTGGACTGATGGTAGGCCAATCATCGTCTTTTGATTCACTTAGCTCGGTTCGTCCATGTTGAGGCCTGAAAAGGATATAGCAGTACTGTTCTGGTTGCGGTCGGTTGGTCCAGCTCACTACATATGATCAGCTAATTGCACTTCACGTGAGTGAATATGACGTTTAGTCGCATTGCTTCAGTTCGAGTGTACAACCGGACGAATCTCGCGCAATCTGTTCGTCATTAGCATCAGGAGAACAGTACTCTTGGTTGAGCGAACAATTGCGTACGATCTGTGAGCCTGAGAACACATACAGCTGCAGAAATAAAACCTGGAACAAGCCACTAAATCGCGTTCAGCTGTGAAGCTCTTATTCAACAGCAAAACGAAAGAAGCAGATAGCAAGAACTGAAGAAAAAAAAGCTGTTCAGTCGTCTGAGTTTGGCTTGCTTACCAATGGACTTGATTAGAGCCTTCGTCATCCAGATGCCTGATGGGGTTGAGATGAAGATCCTTCACTCGGTCATTTTGTCATCCTGATGCTGACCTTGGGTGCCGGAACCTAGATCTCACGTACTTTTGCGTTTGCTTAGGGTCGTTTTTACTGATTTGGGAACAGTTCTGTCAGACAAACTTTATCCGCGATATTTGAGTCACAATCTATCAAAACCAAAAAGTTATTCGATAAAAAACTCCGATTTTTTGGCTTGCTCCAAGTTTTTTTTTCTCGCAGCTGTGTATGGTCTGAGGGTGTCCTGTAGAGTGGGACCGATTGTTTGTGTCACAGAGAAGGTTCAGCGTACCGCCAGGGTTAGCGCATTCGTTTCCAGCTTTGGCACTGTAGTTACGGTTTTTATTAATTGTAGCTTGCGTTTTGCCATAATCAGGAGGCTTCGTTAAAGATGTAAGCCCATGCTACAGTTTCTAGCGTCAAAAACCGCCAGGTTGTTGAGGGCAGCACGCACGACCACTGGTACCTCTGGGAAATGGTTCGTTAAATCCATCTAAATTTTCGTGATGGTGCCCCACTGAGCGCTACGTGCCACCGGTAATTGGATGTCCCAAATACGTTTCCAGAAGTCCTGTTGAAACTGCTTTGCTGACAACAGTAAGGGGACAAGCCATGCCAATAGGTCATATACCGAGGCAGTTTGTCGCGCGACTATACGTTTAGCCAAGACGTTAGGTGCCGATATAGAGCAGGTCGTGTCTAGCCAGCCATTTTGCGCGTTCCAGGGAATTCCCGGGACTCTGTGGACAGTGGACTTTGCTCGTGCGTCTCCAGATGAGTAGACCTCAAGCAGGATTATTCGGGAGAAATTTTCTCAAATTCATCCCAACTTGTTTGAATATTTGGCGCGCTTCTAGGGACTTCTCTCTCGACTCCTTATGGTTCCAGCCGAAAGCACAAGGTTGTCAACATAAGGTTTTTATAGGTTTTCGCTAATTTCAGCTGCTTCATCTCACTCTTCTTCTTCGTTTTTAAGGTGGTGCGAAATAGTTCGGCTCAAAAGATACGGCGAGACGTTCAGACCAAAAGTAGCACGGATGAAACGGAGGATTATAACATTTCCTCTTGTGAGCATCATGATGTTTCATGCACAGAAATCCTGTTGTGTCTCTATCTATTTCTTGCAAATGGATTTGGAGGAATGGCTTCTCAACGTCTGCTATTATGACGTATTTTGGTATCCGAGGCCTAAGCAACATTGCATCTATTTCGAAAGTATAAAGGAGCCCTGATGAAGCAAATCGTTCAAAGACGGGTTTTCTTTGAAGTGTAGAGGCTTCGAAAATTTTGAGCGTTTTGGTGGTCTGTTTATGAGGGGTTATACCGATTTGATGGGGATATAATGCAGTACACTACCCTCAACGCTGTTCACTAAGAATGTCCTCATCGTTGTTTACTGTTTCTTGATCCTTTAACCTTCCGAGATTGTTAAAGATGTTTTATTGAACTAACGTTTCGGCGAAAATCGCCTTCTTCGGAGTCCTGAAAGTCAAAAGCACATTATCGAAACACTTCGCCCAAAAACCAACATCACTTTACAAAAGAAACCAAGGGTAGGGAATCAGGGAACGAAATCGTAACGGACCAACAACTCACCTCTTACTGATGTGGAACTCTACCGGGCCCAAAAACCAACATCACTTAACAAAAGAAACCAAGGGTAGGGAATCAGGGAACGAAATCGTAACGGACCAACAACTCACCTCTTACTGATGTGGAACTCTACCGGGCACTCTGAGTCTAGAGCCTGAGCGGTGCTTTTATATGAGTTCCAGCTCAGAGTTTCTCGGGTCAAAGGGCTCTAGGGACCATATGGCACTGTGAACATTGGGTCAAGGCCCGAAGGAAAGAATTTGAAATTGGGCATGCCGGGTCAAACGGCGCCAGTAGGGGTAAAGGACCAGAAAGGGGGACACACACAATAATGAAAACCGGGTCACCGCCGAGAAGTGGTAAAGGGTAAGAGAGGGACAGTTTTTCAGAAAATTACTGTAAAGGATGGGTCGGACAGCTGTAAGCCCCCCTGGATTGATCATGTAGATCAAAATCCCAAATACAGCCGGAACATGCTGGTCCCTGCCGGTCGCCGCGCATTCACATAATTATCGATTTTAGGGGTTGCAGCTGGGACCCCCCCCCCGTCGGCGCCTCCACGGGGGTATGGATTGCGTAGGTCAAAGGGCGCAAAGCTCAGCGAAGAGTGCGAGCTCCCTGGTAACCTCTATGCACTCGTCCTTCCTGTTGATTCGAGGACTTTTTGCAGTGATCCACAAGGCTTCGAGGGTCCTTCGAGCTGAGATGTCCTGTTCACGTGCAAGGATCGTGACTTTCACCACGATCTCTTCATCTCGGTGTTTTTGAGCCTTGTATATTCTGAGAAATGTACCAGCCAGCTGCTTCCGGCTCGTAAAGGATGTAATGTCACTACGACAGAAAATCGTCGTGACGAGACAGTCCATCCTATTCCTGCTACGCTGTCTACAGCACAAATTCATCACCAATAAGCGACTGTGTGAAGTCTGTGGACACTCTGAAGACTCAAAAGAAGTGAAATCACCAAGCTATAACGCGACTGCACCTTCAGGACCCTACAATCTATAGCTTATCCACCCCGGAGGAATTCAAAAAGCAGTTTCGTCGACTATACAGGACGTGGACCGAAGTTGCTATATCAGCAAACTTACCGAAAAGTTTGGTGACTAGGCTGAAATGCGACTTGCCCGCGTGCCCTGTGTTGTATGTCCTTATAAAAACTCACAAACTCCCATCTACAAAAGTACTGACGGAGGACCCTGCCGATTTCAAAGTTAGACCAATCATAAGCAGCGTGGGCGGTCCAACGGATAGAATTTCCTGGTTCCTAAACCTTATCCTTGGGCAGCTACTCCAGTTTGTCCCCGCACACTTGCCACATGACACATGCTTGACCCTGCTCCAAAGTTTTCTAGAAACCAGCATAATTCACCATGTGTTTTGCATCATCGAGCAATCGTTACGTCCATCGTTTCGCTAGAGCGATTGTAACAGCTCGATATTTTGCTCTCTCATAAGTCCAGTGTTGTGTACATATCATGCGCATATTTCTTCCCTATATTTAATGAATTAATGCAACAGAGAATACACCTTCCGGAACAATTTACCCTTCACTGCCCCGATCATCTGGCCAGTTGTTGACCGTCTTTTTTCTCTGTGGACAGATTGGCTGAAAATTTGTCTCCTGGGGTAGTTTGACCTCCTGAACATGAATATCACATCCGCTCGGCCCGAAACCTCCTGGCGCCCGCGCCACAGGCGCTGGCGCCAAAATACCTCAAAACCACCGGCGCCTGTGGCGCGGGCGCCAGCAGTTTATGAGTCAAACAGATGTGATATTCTTGTCCAAACTACCCCGGGAAACAACATTTGAACCAGATCTGTCCGCGGAGAGGAAAGAAGGTCAAAAACTAGCTCGATTTCAGGTGACTGAGGCAGTAAAGGGTAAATAGTGCCCACATTTTTTGGAGAGACTCTTCCATTTGCGAAGTGAATGGATCCGCAGCTGCAGCACAGCTTTCTGCTCTCAAAAACGCACAGGCACGTTGTTGGAGGTTAGTGACACCCGGCTGCCGCTTGAGATATCGCCCGCGCCATCTTCTGCTGATCTGCGGCGAGGCTTAATGCTTTTGTGTGTCAGCTGTCTGATTCTCTGGTGAACGGAGCGGTCCGTCTCCTTTGCATCGTCAGTTTGTGTGTGTGTGTGTGTG